TATTTTGAGATCTACAAAAAAATGTTTGATACACCTATTACCAATTGTGGAATCGTTGTTTGAAAATTGTATAGCTCGTAATTTTATAACAATACGAATAAATTATATAGCCGTATTATACTTCGTATTCGAAGTGAAATGGGTGTCGTCATTCCACTTCATTAAAAATATATGTTTTTTAAACATCAACTACACTGTTAAATTTTCAATATAAAAAATTATAGATATAGGCTTAATCATAGCAATTTCCCTAAATTTATCATTATAAAACCTGGTGGAAAATTGTTAAATTTATGAAGACTTTACTAATTTTAAAAATAAGTCAAAGCGTTTAAAAATGTAATACATTCATTACGAGTACAGTGACCTGATTATAGTCGTGCTATTGAAATATAATCCAAACCTCCTAAACAGCTGACAGTTCTCTGGTTTTTTATTATTGCATTTAAATGATCGGAGAATTCGTGATCTCAAGAAAATGTAGTACTTAAACTTTTTAACAATATGAATTAAATTATAAAAATTATATTTTCGATATGCTAATTTATACAATCAAGTATCTATAAAATAAAAAAGAAATAAAATATAATAATAATGAAAAAAATTGATTTAACAAAAACATACTCCAATTAACAATATTTCTTACTAGTTACTTCTTTGAGTATAAGGTAATTATGGATATTTAGAAAAGTGATAATATTGTTTATCAATGAGTTAAGCTTTGTTTTTGAAGTTGACATATTGATATACAACATCGATGTCGATAAGAAAATTGTTGTGTAAGTGTAACACAAATATTTATTGATGGGGAAGAGAGTATAAGGAAAGTTTATAAGTCCGTCTAACGTTCCTGACAAAAAAAAAAAAAAACAGAACGGTTTTATATTTTTATTTACGATGATGTAAAAGTCTATAGGAATAATGATTACGCGTGCTAAAAGCTTTCACAGTATGATAAATTACCCGACAACTATAAACTAACTTTTTTATATAGGTATAAATATATAATGTATATGTGCGACGACGATGAGATGGTTAGACACGCGCATTTATTATTATTAATATTATTATTTTTGGTGTAATTACGTCGTGCATGCACTAAACCAATAGCAGTGCATTAGCTACTATGTATACATTGTATATAATATGTAGATAGGTACCTATCTACTTGAGTAGAAAAAAATTGTAGTCACGCGCGTTAGTGTAATCCGTTTAAAGCATTTTTTCCTGTACACATACCAATACACACATAAACATGTTATTATCAAAAGGAGCTTAACTAAATTTATGGATTTGTTTTAGGTTTTCAACACGAAAACGAAACGCGTTGTAAATAATACAAACTCACGTCAGAGGATTAGAAGCAATTTTCTGTTTTTGTCTAATACACATGCTATCTAGAAATGTAGACGTATTCCATGTCAAATGTACCGATTGCTCTAGTGCAGGGGTCTCCAACCTACGGCCCGCGGGCCGGATCCGGCCCGCCAAGCTTTTTGCACCGGCCCGCCAAGCTAATTAATTTTTTGAAAATAATATATTAATTTTCATTGTTTTTAATTTATTTTTTATTAAATTGATTAATAAATTAAAAAAATTATATAAATAAACATACATTTTTTTAAATAAATCTCGTATATTCTTATTTATTTCTTAATTTCATAACCTATCAGATATTCCTAGAATCCTAGATAGACAACATTTTTTTTTTTTTAGACAACACATTTCTAAAAATGTTGGCCTGCGATGCCAAAGCGTATATCAAATTTGGCCCGCCGTAAAAAAAGGTTGGAGTCTAGTGTAACGTTAAGAATTCTGAAAACTTATGATTTGAATTATTAGTAGTTAAGTCTAATTGATTTTTTAAAATTTTTTTTCTACAAATGTTGACACAAAAATATTTTTACATGTGCTTTGTGTTATATAAATATCATTATTTATGAAATATTTTAATTTATTTACATAATATATTCAAAAATAGGCAAGATACTCAAAAATTAGTATCGTAATACTAGATACTATCGATACTTTCTATAGATAAAAGACTGTATTTTCCATTTCCTACTATGTATGTGGCGTAAAATACAAGAAAATTGTCTACAAAATATATGTGTTTACTTATATTCTAATGAATAAAAGTGTACAATATTTTAACAATTTGGTTAATTCGAATTGTTTTATTGAAAATTAAAATATTTTATCTATAATGATCAACTATTATGAGGATACGTGGATCGGACGTCACAACTATCGAAATAGTCGACGACCACCAATATTTAGTATCAATATGTGGAATTTCTATTAATCAGTTATATAAGACCTTCCATGTACCAATAATTCGTTAAGAAGTATGGCATCATGCTTTTACTGTAGCACTTGGAGAAACCATGTTTCAATATCGAAATTCTTATGTACCTACGCTTCTTAAAACAAAAACACGTTTTAAAAGTAGTATTTATATTTTATCTTATTTAACTTATTTATTTAGTTTACTAATATAATAATTACGTGATATCAGGTTCGATTGGAAAAACATTTATCAGCTAGGAGAATCAAGTCCTGCACCACGTCATAAAAGTACAAGGACCACGATAAAAATATAAAAAATTGTGGAAAATTGCTCTAAAATACCAACAGTTCAATAAATACAAAGGATTCATCTTACAATATTCAGAATTAATCACTAATTATAACGTGTTCTAAATAATGTATTCAATCTGCCACTATTAAAAAGTAACCTTAATCTTTTTTAACAGTTTTAGTGCTGTTGGTAGTTAGTTTTCCGGTTGGTGTTCCGAAATTGATGAACAAGTTTTTATAATTCCTAAAATATATTAAAAGAAAGATTAATAAATTAATATTTTCTTATTTACACTTAATATTATATCGGTTATATGACAAATGATGGTTTATTATATTATGATAGCAAACAAAAGTTATAACATTGACTATAGGATATAACTACAATAGTATTATTGGAGTAATACAAATATATTTTGTAAGTGTAGAGCACATATTATTTCAAGTATTATTATAAAAATATCGTATTTATTAAGATAAATAATAACAATTTAAAATAAAATACAAATTAATTGTAAAGAATTTGACAGTCTAAATCTTTTTGGACTATCAATTATAAAGCTTTTAAAACAACTTAAATTAATAATAATTTACCTTTGATAAAATAGTTTTTTAGCCAATTCCCTAAACGGTTCATCAACTACCAAATTTATAATAATGGCAATGAAATAACATATGAATACAATATCATAGAGTTAAGCGTCAAACTGAAAGACCATAAAATCAAAAACCATATATTAATAAATTCGTCGACAGTTTTCATCGAGAGACGTGATGATAACAATATTTTTTGATTTTTTACAATGGAAATTAATATGATGTATACGTCAATATATTTGTTGACTTTCCTGTATTTAAAATATGTGACATCGTTGATGTTCATATTATCTGGATATCTGGTACTGGTAGAGTGGTAGATCATCTAGATCGTTTGAATTATTTTCTTTGTCTAGTGTGGTATTGCGCATAATTTAAAGTTTTATAAATAGTGAAATAAATTTTTATAATTATTATTTTAAATTACTCTATGTATTAATTAAATAGAATAATATTTTCTATTAATGATATATTTTTATTCTTATAATGATATGATTTTAAACAATTTATATTCAGTTTTGTTTTGCGTCAACCTTGACTCGCGTCTACAAGTGGCTACGTCAAAATTGCATATTATGTCGGTCCAACCATTGTTCGTCCAAATGACATCTTCATTTGACGGCGTTAAATTTACTGTGTCGTAATGATATATATTTACTAAATGCAGCGTTCGGAACGGTTATTAAAAAAATTAATTCGTTCACGTTTACTGCTAAAAAAAAAATCATTTACGTTAACATTCATTTTTTTTCAAATGAATATGTTTACGTTCTTTTAAAAATAAATGCTTTATCATTTGGTCGTTATTTTTTTTTTTTTTGAACCATTTATCTCTGTATAAAAACGCTTAAACATACACGATTTAAACCAAAAATAAAATCACAATTCAACACTTAAGAGCATAAAAATACATTTTGTATCTGAATTATATTTTTAACATCTTATACTTACATTATTTGAATTAGAGTTTAATGGATTTTCTTGCGATAAAATTAAACAGGTACTACTGAACTAAGCACGTAGCTGGGAGATTGAATTAAATCGCCTTAGAAAAGTTTGCTATCCCTTCAGTTTTTTTAGAGTTGAAAAAAAAAAACTTTTCGATAGAAGATTCAATTTAAGTTAAATTAGAGAAATGACACCTTCATAAGTACCTTTCTAGCGTTAGACTGCATACTCTCCGGTAGAATAACCGCATGTTTTATCGACAAGCTTATTATAAACACTCAATACGTTTTCTACTTAATTTACAAGTTCAATAAATAGTTTAGTTTAATAAATTGGTTGAATCATTTGTTATTACATTCAACATCAGCCTTATTTGATGTACTGACATTTACGTGCCTTCGTCACTAAGGAAGCGTATAGCGGACTAAGTGGTGAGAGCACTGAAAGCACACATTGATGGTTACCTGTTACAAACTTTTCGGTGAGCAATAGAAGATACTTCTACGAGGTAATTTTTGTATTAATAACGCTAAATATCATAATAAAATTAATTTAAATAAATAAATAATTTAAAGAAAGGGTTTTCAAAAATCTTGATTATCAAAACGTTGGAAAAAAATTCTAACGTTAATACAAATTATCATGAATATACTATGTACCATTCAATTATAAAACTGTAATAATATTATAGTACCTAAGTCTTTTTATTAAGAACAAAATTAAAGTACAATTTAAAAAATATATTTTTAGGAAGGAATTAAAATTCAGTTGGAAAAAGAATAGAGTCTACATCAATATCGTTAATATAAATATAATTTATACCCATTGACCATAGTACGTAGATAATTATATTAATCCAATAAAATAATAATTATGTTTAATGAATAATAATAAAATAATATTATAAGTAATTAGCGTTTAATAAATAAAAAAAATACTATGCGTTTGTTTACTCCATAAGCTTTGTAAGAGTGATAACACAACTTGCTGTTTAGATAGCTGTAGTGCGGTAATATTATAATAAAGTAAGTAAAATGTTATTATTACAAAAAGTAAAAACATTAATCGATACGGAACTTGTTTTGATGCAAACAACGATGTGGATACGAATTAATAATTATTATACCTACATTAATAATTATCACCGAGTTTTGTGATATAAAATAACTAGATTAAGTTAAACTCGAAATCCGCTGTATCGCCATTTCTCTTAATTTATACTTTTGCACTTTGCCTGATCCCGTCATCGGGAACGCATCCTTTTCAATAAATATATACTTGGGGATCTTAAAGTGGGCGATCTGCAAAATACAATAAACCGACAAAACCGTCGTGTGTTACCCAAGTGGATCTGTCGATTAAAAAACCAAGCTACGGCACAAACAAACCTTTCCTTTGCTGTACGCTTTTATGTCTGCTTCGGTGAGCGTAGCTCCTTCTTTGAGGATGACGCTGGCACACACTTCTTCGCCCATCCGTTGATCGGGTACACCGTATACCTGTGATGTACATAGAGTATCGTTAAAATGCGCGTGCGAAATATACATTAGAAGAATATTATTTGGATAAAACAATTATAGGAATAGTATGCGGTCATAGGGTGTGGTTTTTAGCGTACGAGTAACACTAGACTAGTACACAACAGTTATGGGCGTTATGGTCATGTATCGCAAAGAGTTGAAAATAAAAACGCTCAAATTGTATTCCTATGAGACACATTAAAATCTATTGAAAATATTAAGCATAGCTGGAAAATATTACTGTAATCACTAGATTAATAAATAGTATATTAATACTTTATTTATTTGTAGGTCTATTGAGTTTAAAATAAATAAATTAAAATAAATATACATTTACTTAAAATTGTTTATAGGTAGGTTACTAATCTAATAAAGATTATTGATGTCATTATAATTAATCGATTTCAAATATTTTGAAACTAGTTCAAAAAAATTAATTTTAATCCATTATTGAACATGGTAAATATTGTTTTTAAAACTATATATTATTTTGTATTATTAATTATAAAATATATCATAAATTATTGTTTAATGTTAAATTGAATAAGGTTATAATTCTACAAATGTATATCTACGTATTAGGGTGATCCTTAGCTATAGAGGTAAAAAAAATTTTTTTTAAATTATAGTCACGGGCTTTAAATTTTGTTTGGTATACTGGCAAAATAATTTTAGTAAAATTTGAACGCGATAAGTCAACCCATTCACGTGCCTCAAAGAGGTAGAAATTCTATAAAAAGGGTTTAATTTTCTTATTTTGCGTGTAATTTATTTAATTTTACAGTATCAAATTATAAAAGCAGAAGAATTAATATTTAACAGGTTCTAAATAATATTGGTCGTAAAATTCTAAATAATTTTTATTTAGTTTTTGAAAAAATTACAGGTTGCAATATCTAGGCGTAAGTATAATAATAATACATTATGTAATTAATACTAATGATACTTGATGATAACTGAAAGTAGTTGATTATTGGAATTTTTCACTAACTAAATACTTTGTGAACGTATTTATATAAAATATTTATTTAATACTTATAAAATGTATTACTTGAACTTGTGAAATCAATGGATGAGACTCCAAAAAGTATTCTATCTCTTTAGGAAATAAGTTTTCACCACCGCGGATAATCATTTCTTTTAATCTGCCGACGTGATTGCCATATCCGTCTTCGAACAATACGAAATGGTCTCTATAAACAGTCGTAAAACAATATAAACATCACGGTATCCTATTATGTTGAGTTAATAATACATATAAGTTTACAATAATTATTAAAAACACATACTTTAATACAGATTAATTTTTTTTTTTTTTTTTGGTATTATTATCATTAGCTGGTATTTATTTTATTAAATTGACGATTGCAAAATATATTCACTTCGTGTAGTTATTTTAAGACAAATTAATATAATTTTATTTGCAGCGTATATTTTATGGAGAAAAATATAACGATTAATTAAATATATTATATTATTCTTTATTGTATTTTTAATTTATAAAATGTATTAAATAATAATTTATGTTCCGTGTTTTCATTATTTTTCTCGTGCAATATATATTTGTTTTTACGTTATAAATTCTATTAAATATGTTAAAAGTGCATGTATAGACTAATGTAAATTTTGACTCGATCTGTTTAAAATTTATCACTTTTAAAGAAAGTTTGGTATTTTGTATCTACAGCGTGAAAATGTAATATTAAATTATTTAAACTCTTTATCCACGGTTCAATATATGAGTAATAACTAATTAAAATTAGGATTTAAAATATTTCATTCTCAACTACTTCATCTTCTACTACTCCTAAGAATTTAACAGCTAACAATATTAATGATTTTATAAAAGCTATTATAGAATTACAAAAATCTCAATTTGATATCTTATTATCGAATGCATAAACCTTATTATCATATATGTGTGATATGTAAAATTATCGCATGGCGTTAATAAAAATTTAAAAAAAATGTAATTAATTATTAACATATATAAATTGAATTGATAATTATGAATTAATTTAAAATAATTCAGTTATGTACAATTGCAGTATGATAATTATATCGTTGCAAATAGAACTATATAATACTTAACATGACAACTATCAATGAGTTCACTATACCCTAGAGACAAATTAGATTTTACGATGACCGTTTATTCATTATTTTAATAAGATTTAATTCATTAAAATACACAAATTATTATTTTTAAGATTACTATGATGATTCAATAAATATATTATATATATATTTTTTTTTTGTGCGCAATGGTAAAGGGTACAAATTTGATTCGTATATACTTCATATTTAATATTCAATTATTAGCGCAAATATTTATTTTTAAATAACTAAAAAAATAAAATAGAATATTTCTTACATATAAACTTTAAAAAAATGTTTAAAAGTTTCTATACACCATGCAGTTTAATATATCTTTTTTTTTTAAATTTAGATATTTGGTGAGTATTAAACATTTTTTCAAATGCAAACATTTTATATGAAAGAGATATTAATGGATAATGGGAAATTTGAATAATAAAATTGTTTATATACTAAAATAAATGTAAAATTATCATTTTCATTAATATATGCTATTAATTGGTTACATTTTTATTATTTTTATTTTGTTTATAAATAACACATTCATTAAAAATAAAATATAATAAAATGTTATATTTTATTTAATGAAGAAATATAGGCAAATATAGTTATAACTCTTAATTATGTGTACTATAATTATTATCAAAGTGTACAATTGATTTAAGTCATGTAATTTTATGAAATGGACATCAAATTAATTAAATGTAAATCCAGAATATGATATTTCCGTTAAAATTCACCATCTGGACTTTCAGTTCAAGAAAATATTGATATCATCAAATAGATATGTCATACCCCAATAAAATAATCATTCTGTATTACAATTGTTTACCCCGTGTGTAACCACCCATTCGAATCAATCATTTCTTTAGTTTTTTCTTCGTCGTTAAAATAACCATTCATTTTTAGGTATCCACGAATCAACAATTCTCCGGAAGTCCCGAACGGTACCATATCGCCATTGGTATCCACCACTTTCGCCTAAAAATTGATAAAACACACAGTCATAGAAATAAATATTGTTCTTTCAATATCAGCAATCGACTATAGTATAATAATCTAGTACAGTTAAGTTATTTACTGTAACTATTATTTTTCAACATATCTATAATAACACGTATCAGTGAGGGTGGAGAGACTGAAAATTATAGTAGGTAACTTCATTGTTTAAAAATAACCACCTCGAATAATGTTTAATAAAGAATCTGATTGAAAGTTATTCCACCCATCTCTAATCACGCTTTTGTATCGTATAAATGAATATTGTTAAATATAATAATGACGACTGACCTCCACGTGATCTAGTATGAAACCCATCGTCGACATTATCCGTTCATCTGAGTCATTCAAGAAGTTTAGAAACGTACAGGGACTGGTTTCTGTCATCCCGAACACAGACTAAAATTATTGAAGAATTCGAAAATTATAATTAAAATATTAATTATACTGTTTTAATTATCAAGAAAATATAGTCACTAAAAATTTTGAATTAAAACAAAAATGTATTATAATCAGTTTCAAAATACCAATATTTTAGCTCGTGGGAACATGTTCTTAAACTTGGACATCAAATTTGGAGAACAAGGAGCGCCACCGGTTATTGCGAGCTTAATGTTGTTATCTTGTTGTTCTGCTGGAAGTTTTTCGAAAACAGACATAGTGTCCACGTATATTGTTGGCGTACCAAATATAAAAGTACATCTATAATAATAACGCATTTATAAACATAGTAACTTTTAGTATAATATTATCATTTTTAAAACACTATTTACTCTTTATCTTTTTATCAAATAATTTTTCATACAAATACCTAAAATAAAAATATTGGTAGGTACCAATATTTTTATTATTTTTGTAAATATACATTTTACATCATGACTTGTTTTAATTTAAATTGTATGATCATTGATCATCATGAAAATTCTAATTTTGGTATTAATGCATTAACTTACTTTTCTTTCGTAAGAACATCAGCCGTCGCTTTTGGATCAAAGTGAGCTGACGGTAAATAAACTGTTGATTTAGTAACAATAGGTGCAACGACCGCGAGAGATAAAGCAAAAGCATGAAATAAAGGCATTGAACAGCAGAACTTATGTAATTTACCCTAGACGGATAACATACCCAAAGTATCAGATAGTAAGTAACAATTTAATCACTATCAAAATCAATAGAAAAATATCTCTAATACTTACTTCATTGTTATCATCGTAGATCCTTGAACGCTTCATGATACTGTAAGCGTTGTTAATTAGCCCAAAATGATTTAATAATGCTGCTTTTGGCTTTCCAGTGGTACCCTAAGAATAATTACACAAATGCATTTTATTATATGAACGGTTTACAGACGGTGTTATTTTATAAAGTATTTCAATAATTTATATTTTATTAAAAGTTTATATCCAAAAATAAGATTGTTTAGAAATTCATAGATCAACAAGATATTACTTAAACAAAAATATGTATATATATATATTATAGCATAATATAAAGAAAACTTAAACGGTTCGTTTTTTACTCACTGAAGTAAACTGAATATTACATCCTTCGTCTGGTTGAATTTTAGGAATATTATAATCTGTATTGAAACCCAGGTCTAAGAATGATTGTAAATTATAGGCACCGCTATAATATTAAAAATAATTGCAGTTATTAAAAAATATATCAAATATAAGACTATAATATTATTATATAATACGTAAATACTAACTTAAAACGATTTTCAGAATCAAAAATAACCGATTTCAGCATGGGTAAGATTTTCGATTTAACTGGCGTATTAGGTGGTCGCTTCCAAATATCCGGATCGACCTTCTCCAATATCTCAAGATAGTTTTGAGTCTTAAACTTCTTTATGGTTAACAGACACTTCACTTCAGCCAGCGTTAAACAGTATTTTAATTCTTCACTTTGATAGGCTGGGTTAACGTTTACCTGAAATCATCACAAATTTAAATACTTCGACCATAAACAATAAGTTATCTTTAAAATTTTACCAACTATAACTTAACTACTCGTATACTGATTTGAACGTTAAAATACATTTAATACAATGAAATTTGCAGCAGTTACAAATAACGAAATATTACTAGTACACTGTTAACACACGATCGAAGACCGACAAGTGTATAAAATGTATATTATACTATATAAATTATAAAATTGTATTATATTTTAATATTACATGATTTAAAAATAATTTAAATAGGTTTAAATACCTACCAGAATAATTGATATCTACATGTGATGTGCTAGTATAAAAACCTCAAAATCACCGTAATAATATCTTCATAACTTAAAAAAACTGTAGAAACTAATAGATATTAAAAAAAAATCAATCATAAATTGGTATCTACTCTAACCAATCACAATTGTGTAAATTAAACTGATGTCATTATTATTGAAATCATCAAAAAGTGGATTGTATGTATAATGTACATTTATGGCATTTTTATTAATCAATAAAATCTGTAGCTTCACTGTATTTAATTGTATATGTCTATACACCAAATTAACCAACACATATCAAGAAATCATAAATGACATATAATAATATGTCTAAGACGTACTATAACACGTAAAAATCTCAAAAGGTAAACGAAAAAAATACATAATTTTTTTAAATATTATTTTTATGCGTGGAATGATAATAACAATTAATTCATAAAAAATGAAAAAGTATAAAATATGTTAAGACTTTGTAGCAGTAACCATACTCTCAACAGAGAAGAAGTCGTCATATCCATTACGTTTTTCCGAAGCAAATTTTTTGAATATTAATATTTTAAACTTTTATTTTTAATTATGTATCAATAAATTAAACAAAAAAAAAAAAAAAAAAATCGAAAGAAAATGATTAATACCTACCAATATCAGTCCTAGGCGAGCTGTCGCGATAATCGCCAAATAATAAAACGCGCAATTGGGCATCCATATTCCGACTCGATCTCCGTGCTTTAGGCCAATAGCATTAAAGCTCCTACACAACTTATCCACCTGCAATAAAAAAAAATATAAATCAATTAACATGCGCCTTTACAGTACACAAATAGGTACGTATTATTATGCATGTTGTTTATAATAATTGTATATAACGGGTGTTAAGAGAATAATAATAATAGCACAGATCATTCATTATACTGTTGCTTTCGACAAAACGAATCATAATTATATTATTTAATTTTTGCTGACCTCGAAATCTATGGCGGCAAACGTGTATCGTTTATTCTCGTGACGGCTGACTAGGAACTCTCGGTCCGGAGTCTGTTGCACAGCGTCATTGAAAACTCCTCCGATTGTATAAGGTTTGAGTGGATCACTCGAAGCTCCATATAAATAACTGCACTTTGACCAGTGATTATTTCTCGAAAATGTATGGTAACTGCAGAACGTAAACTTGACTAACTTATAATACATTATTGTACAATATAATTAAAAGAATATTATATATATATATATATATATATATATATATATATTATGTATTTAATACACTTAGTTTACCAATACTTGTAATATTAGTGAAAATTTTCTGACTCCTTTCTAAAAATGTAACAAATTGTAAAAAATTATACATACAAACTATACAGCGTAGGCTACCGTATTAGGTACAAATATATTCAACATAAAATTGCATTTCTTAAGACACTACAACGCATACCGATTAATATTTTGTATGTAAGTATTAAGAAATTAATAATTATTATTTTCAATCTTACTTTTTTTAATATACAAGTGATTGTTATTATGAATTTCCCAACGTAGGTACGTTGTGTAATATAACCTAACCCAACTTAACATTGGTGCGGTTTATTTAACCGTTCAAAAATCAAAATTTTTTCATTCATTATATTATCGCGTGGAATATGTTCTATGCCGTTAACTAGAAGCTCTGTATAGGTCATGATTCATGACCACTCGAATGAAAATGACCTAGTTACATGGTAAACCTGGTGTGTGTATATATATATATATATATATATATATGTGCGTGCGTGTGTGTGTGTGTAGTCCTAACTTAGCCGAATAAAAATATGTCCAAGGGACTAAAAAAACCGGAGGGCAAACGCGTGACAAGTGACCTACCCTCTGCGGCCTAATTACATTTTAACACAGCAGCTTAATAATAGTTTTTTTATGGATTACACGTAATTAAAATGAAAAACACAAATGCCTGATTATACTTCTATACTACATATGTGTATGTATACGATATAATGCGTAAGAAAAATCTATTAATAATTATTGAATTTTTACGTTTAACAATATTTTTAATTAATAATGCAATTTTAATATTCGAATTGATATTATAATTACATAAAAATGATATATATATATATATACAATATTTATTTAATGTGCAATAAATCATTAATTACTATAATTTATTTATATATTATATAAGTAATTACAAAAATACTTACATTAAATGTCCATTAAGAGCACGTAGTCCTTTAAGATTCATTATTTTAAACAACGAACTGTTAGTCATCTTATGAATTATAGTCATCTAGTTTACATAAAAAAAAAAAAATCATTTAAATAATAGTATAAGACCTTTATTATTTTTTAAATCAAAACTTAAAAATTAGAATATTAGCATATTACCAATACTGTTTTTTTGTATATATTAGACGTTTCGAAGTTGATTAACAACTGTCAGTAATATTAAAGATTCTGAAAATAAAGTATTATCTATGTTATTATATTATTATCAGTGATATTGAAAATAAACATGCACAGTAGATTTAATATAATTCTAGACTATTTACGCAAAGAAAGTACGAATTTTACCATGGGAGAGAGACGTGTTAGTTAAATGTTTTACGATTAGTTATCTGAAAATTATATAATACGTGTTTATTAAACGAGATACTTTAATATAGGTACACTTCAAGATGTTTAAACAATTCAAAAACAATAAAAACATAAACTAAAAATAATTTATACAGTTCTGACCGAGTTTTATTTTGAATGCGTTTATCAAAAAACAATTAAATTGCATACAATTGCGAAATAAATTATTATACATTTAAGATGTATTTATTAACAATGGTAAACGCAAGTAAAATTACATAATCAGATTGATTTAAATTGCAATATAAATTTGTATTTAAAATTGAATAATTCATTAAGACTTATTGAATTGTAACTTATAAATCTTCTCCCTCCCTATCAATCAGTGTGAGGTATATAAATATTAATTTAATGTGTGACGTGTGTATAAAACTGATTCTTTTACATATCTTTCGGTTTGAACTAAAAAAAAAAAAAATTAATCAGTAAAAAAAATTGAGTTGATACTAGGGATGAGCAGTTTTCGGAGATATTTAAGATATTACAAAAATTATACAAAAATTGCGGAATAAATTAAATTTAACGCATTATAAAACTAAATAATAGTGTATTTAATTTAAATATTTAAGTTTTTTTCTAAATTACAATTAATTAAACCACTGATATAATTAAAAAATTTAAACTTAAGGTTTCAATCAGAATATATAGTATAAATTATATACCTACATTCTATTCTACAAAAGTTAAAAAGATGAGTACAATTAAAATTCTTTGATATTTTATTACATTGCCACATAAAAAAAATAAAACAAATAACTAACGCGGTAGTAATTAAATAATAATTTGATTCAAAAAATTAGTTATAATACTGTTATTAATGAATAAATTTAAATTTAATGTAATTTTTAAATTAGATCGGTATTTTTTTATATTTATTTAAAATTGTAAACACTTTAAATCTCAACTGTTAATAAAAATTTAAAAAATAGGTAGGTATAATGAAAACGGAAGATATTGTAAAAAAGGTATATAAATATTAAATTATCAAATACCCTTGGTATGACTATAAAATATATGCAATTTAGATAAAATGTTTAACTACAGATTGGTATTCATATCAGTCAACGAATAGCTACAATCAATTAAGAGTTTCATATTAGGTATACATAATATAAACAATTTTTTTGGCATTCCTAGTGTTACGAAAAGAACGAAAAATAAGCAAAAGAATTGTGCAAATTTCATTCCTTTTAGAATTTAAAAATTACTTACAAATAATTTCATCGATATTCAAGTAGTATATTTAATAATATGATATTATATAACCACAATTTAATATATAAGTACTCAACTACTCAGAACAAAATTACTATTTTTTTTTTCTGTTAAACGTTTTAACTGTGCTTTTTGATGAATAACTATTCTATAATTTAGCTAGATATTAATATATATTTTGAAATTATCATAACATGTAAACTAATATGCATAGCTCTTATACTTGTGTAAAACATACATAAATCAAAAGACACGAACTGTCTTCAAACAATTATTATTAAAAAAAATTAATTGTCATTTTACAGTTATTGGATATTCCTGAAATCTCAGGACAGGAATAATCGTTCTCCGAAATTTCTAGGGGTATAAATCTTGGCTAGTAAGGTACAGTTAGATTGGCAGTTTTTTCATGTCACTGATCAGAATTCGAATAAATTATTACGATAAAAACCAAATTTCATATACGTAATCTGCAAGTTCTCAAGAGTATTATACTAATAACTGAGTACAATTATTGGCAATATATTTCCAAATTATCTATACCGCCAATATAATAATAAAAAAATGTAAGAATAAATAATATAATATAACCATTGAACACTAAGCAAATATAAATAATGGATGTTTATTTTTTATCTAAACAATATTTTATAAAACGTTAAGTATTTTGTTTAATTTTATTATTTTATAGCACTTATATACTAGGTGGTTGTTTTAACTGACATACTTATTTTACCAAAAATTAATAACGTCATCAAGTTTTTTTTATACAATTTTATTACAGTATTAATTTTAAAAAAAATGTTAATACTAAACGTTTTTCAAATTTTTACTATATATTAAATGAAACAGGTATATTTTTATTTTTATATTTCCGAGAAGAATGTTTTTCAAAAAAAAAAAAAATAAAATAGTTAAACTCCTTAGAAGTAGGTGTAGTAAACTAGTTATAATTACCAAATTCTAACATGATAACTTTTAAATTATTCAAAATTTTGAAGAACAGAGTCAACAGAGCAGTGGTTTTTACCACAATAGCTATCACAATGCACGTATAGATTTACATTTAGTAAGGATCAATTAACTAGTTGATTCTACTTATTTAAACTTAAAAGTTTAAACTTTAAATAAATGTTAAGTGTATACTGTATATTTATATAAGCTGTTTGAAATTTTATTTTAATTTAAGAAACATTAATTTTCTTAGAAAAAAAAATAATCTACTTAGGAATAAAAAATTAAAGATATACATGTATATAAATTCTTATGAAAGTAAAAAGCTTAAAAATGTAATATATATTTTAAATTTTGTTTAATGATGACTTATTCTAATGATATAAAATATTTATTTTAAACGTTAATAAATTTCAAGATCGGGAAAATTTGGTAATAAACAAATCATCTCGGGCAAAAAATGACGAATAGGCAGTATTAAAGTTATAATTTTGAAACTGTTAATTACCTAGGTACCAATAACAATTTTTTAATACAGTCGATTTTGCTTTATTAGGATACATCGGTTGCGTGTCATTTTGTCCCAATAAAGCGGTTGTCCCTATAATCCGAAATACAAAAACAAACATATACATTTGTTAAAAAACTGATTTTTTATAATATAAATCCCATGAGGTCGTCTTAATTATATTCTTACCTTTAAATTTTATAAAAGATTAATTCATTCCAATTTTTAAACTAACGGAGCAAAACGTGATCTGCTGAGTGTAAAATTTGCTATGTTACATTTGTAAGACAACACATATGGGTATCACGTCCTCTTAATTGGTAATACAAAAAGAAAAAACATGATGTTATAACCTAATATTTTATAAAAATACATACCTACATAAAAAGTACATATACGATACACATATTTTTTATTGTTTTATTATGTATTTTATCTTATTTAAAAAAAAAAAAAAAACTGTAAATATTACTTTATTTTTTACGTATTATTTATTGTGATACTCGATAAAAATGCCCCAGTTATAGAGATTCGTGGCCCAGATAAGCGGTGAATATTTACCCTACCAAGTATACATTTGTTTTCGTAGTTGAAGAATTGTCCCTATTCCTTATTAACCGGTGTCTCCATTAAGCGGAATCGACTATACCTATACACATGACTATATTTCACACTGTAGAGAAACATTTATTTTTATAAAATTAAATATATTTTGTAATATAAATTGTGCTAATGATTTACTTTATTATTGGTATTAACCACAGATATATAAAAATACTAGATAACCGACTTGGGTATTATTATTGTCGCCAGTAAAATGGCCACCATCCTTATCTAAGAGGTGAGTGTTTATATTTCTTAGTATTGATAAGAACGATGTTAATATTATTTATTATTTAATACTAGGAATGATCAATAAACATTTAGAATTACATTTATATACTTAAAGCTATTATTATTTTGTGTAACATTTTAGAAAAGTTTTTGTCTTTTTGAGTGGAATTAAATTTTCCTTTATGTCTTATACAAGGGAAATTGTCATTAAATATTTTGTCTGTGTTCTTGAAGATGAAGTTTCAAAGATAAATGTAAGTTAGGTATAACTACCTACTTATAACATAATTTATTGTAATACAAATACCAGTACACCCAGAAAGTATAACATTTAAAAAAATGATCACGTGCTTTATTTATTTAATCAGTACAATACAACTTTAATAAAATAATATATATATTAAAATAAATCTTGATTCTTTGTATTTAAATAATAGGTATTATAAACTACATGACATATAGGTAAAACAATTTTATTGATTCATAAATAAAATTTGTTTTGTCAATTTATGGCGGTTACTAATTAGATTTAAATATCTGTAGAATACATTTTACTATATGAATGTAATCTTATGCTTAAATATTTCTTTATAAGTAATGCAATTAAAACCATTTTATGGGGTCTATCTAATGAAAAAACATTGTTACATTCTAAATATTTAAATATATTTTTGTCTAGTGCACATTTTTTATTAATAAAGCAATGATAAACCATAGTAATAGATATATATTTAAAAAATATTAATAATTACTGTACCTACCTTTCCTGTACATTAATCACAATTTATATTTATAAAATTAAAAAACAACATGCTTAATATGTGCATTAATAGTGTTGGTGTATGAGTAATGTTTGGCATGTAGCTATATATTGTTATAAAATAATAACACAATGCATATTATATTTAATTATTATTTTTATTAAGATTTATTATGTTTGATAATCGTTTGGGATTCTTAATAGTTATAAATAGCTCACAATTACCATAATATTGTTTTATTCAAATACATACAGTAAAATATTATATTATATTAAAATATTAAATTGTTTATTTAGTGTAAAATATTAAATGGTTCCAAATTTCAGTTCCAAGTAAATACATTTTCTACAATAAAAGTTTCTGAGCTTACACTATTCAGACAAAAAATTTTCTGAAGTTTTTCGTTTCTATAAAATTTAAAATACTATATCCCTCCAAATAGTGTCTTATCATTTATCATATCAGTTTAATTTGTAAACAGTCACCTCTTAGATAACGATTATCGGCCATTTTGTTGGAGACATAATTTTGTATGTAAAACGTATGACAGTCGGCTATCTAGTATTTTTATATATCTGTGGTATTAACACTTTAAGCGACTATCGAAACGTCTCTAAAGAATCATTGTTATTTTTTACTAATTAACTAAAAAATATAATCGGAAAACCAGTATAAAAATTTTATTTTTATTTAAATAAAAACTTAAAACTGTTAATTTTATTGTAAAATTATTTAAATGAAATTGGATATATATTATATAAGTTTATTCCATAAAATATTTAACCATCTATATTAATGGTGTTATTATTATATCTTAGTAAAAAACCAACTTGAATATTTTTAGATGTTGAACATTTTGAATCATGAACGTACAATCATTTACTATATTTTTAAGTATTTTACTAAAATTTACCTATCTTTAAAATGTATACATCATATTATATCAATTGAATAATTGAGACATTAGATAACCATTATTTACATTCAATAATGAAGTATTTAAATAAATTTAAATAAAATAACCTATTGAAATGCTTAAAATTATTTGTAAATACTTAATTTATTGTAATATTTCTTTAAATAATAATTATTGAAAGGTAAAAGCTTAAAAATCTGTACTTTAAATAGGTTTCATTAAATTGGTACTCACAACAAAATATACGTATTTGACTAGATTTAAAAACTAGTAGACAGTATTATTTTTAACTATAATTATACAAATATACCTTGGTAGGATAGATTTTATATAATTAAATTGATGTTTGAACATCCACACGATTTATTAAGAACTGTTGAAAGAGGAATTTTCGATAATAAATAATTCAATTTTACAAAATAATTAATTAGTAGGAATAATTAAAAAAAATTGATGTATATCAATGAAAAAAAAACGTAATTTTAACACCTGCAAATATTTACTTGTTAACTTTAATTAGGTAACTAAATTAAATTATTATTTTATATAATTATCCAATAAAAAAATGTTTTGCTATGAATATCATACAATTTTGACATTTAAAAAGCGATACTAGTTGCAATAACGATTTAATCCAAATAAACATTTTCGAGATAAAAATTATGAAAATACAATATTTCAATAAATTAAATCATTAAACTAATAAATGATTTCGATATATATTTCACATGCTCCATTCAATAGTATAATTATACACAATAATGCGTTTTTTTATTAGTAACAAACCTACACATAATTGTATAGATTAGCTCAGTAATAGGGGTTTTTTTTTTTGAAATTTCATTAAAAATAATTATTACTTAATATTTGATCAAACTCGACTTTTACTATTAAAAATTTTATATTGTTCACAATGAACATAATATACAATAAATTATTTGATATATTAATTAATCGTAACTATATAACTTTAATTAAAAATGATAATATTGCATTAATATTTTGTTCAAAGTTTTAAATAGTGCCTTTATTATATGGCGAGAGCGGGAAGTTGATAATGTGTGCGGCTCAAACACTGTATACACATTTAACTAAAATTGTCTTCTCGCACGAGTCACACATACACCGTAAAACATTTTACGACTTCGAAATCACCTCTTTATATGTTACCATAATGAACTATTCTTGCCATCCTTGGTATAAATTTACAAAACTTTTTAATTGAACAGCATGAGAGTAACCTTCCAATCATCTAATAAAACATATTATATTATGTACAAAACGTTTCAGTACGTCCATGCATATAATAATAGATTATAATAGTAACTGTAACCGTGATTAAAATACACCAGATTTATATAACTTTTAGTTTTTGAGTGGACTGAATAGATTCATTAAATACTTTGCATTGTTATTAACAAAATAATATTTAATATTAATTAAAATTAATTTTAATGTTTGTTAAACACTTTTTTAATACATATTTGAGCGGAGTTGACACTTTCAACGACTAATTATTATCTGAACACAAAAGAACCCATTGGTACCCAAGACCGGCTAGGCCAATTACAAATATTAACGTTATATTATTGAATATCATTGATATTTATATGTAACAATAACTTTTAAAAAACCTTTGCTATTCACTAAATGAAAAAGGATCATTTTTCAATGCTTCAATCGGCATTGAAAATTTAACCATTTGAATAGACTTAACAAAAAATGTTTATTTAATCTCTTACAATAAAAACGATGATTTTTAATCAAAAATTTTCACAGATTAATTTAATAAGTAAATGACAATTTAACAATAATAATTGTATAATCATATTATACTCGTAGGTACAATCGCTCAGTACGGCCAAACTATAATATTTGCGCAACTGAGTTTTTATTGACGACAATAATTATAATTAATAATTAATATTTTTACAGGTTTTGAATTTTTTTTTTTAAGCCAAGTTATTGTAGTTCCATTATAGAAATGTATTATTAGTGTAAATATTCTATGTTTTTATAATAAACATATTTACAATTTACCATAACTATACAATAAACATAATTTTTCAACTACTTCTTTATTACAATTGAAATATGTAATAGTTTAAAATTGAACTGAAGTTATTACAAACATTAAATTTTAGTTACCAAATGGTTAGTAAACAATTTAAAACGAGATACAATTTAATATTCGTTTTTATTCATTTATTTCATTGATGAAGTACTCTAATAAGATTGTATAAAAAACATGCGAAATTCTGCTTCCAAGTAACATCAACTCACAGTAGGAAATAGAAAAAGGAATATAATTAAAATCAATAATAAAGATTAAAATAAATATTACATTACATACCTAATTTATTATTAAAATATTAACCCAATAATATGAACAATCAGTAAAAGTAAAAAACACCAAGATATTTTTGGGTAATATTTAACAAGCACAGTTGTGTAGTAATAAAAACATATTAATATTAATACTTAATTTATATTAATAGTCAAAGATCGTAATACAACAGTAGCACGTAATAATTAATCCAATAAAATAAAGCAATTTGTAATTAAAATGCGATTATTTAGCTAATTTACATAATGAACTTTGTAAACATGACGACATAACTTCCTGTTTACATATTATAATTAGTTGCAAAATGTATGGTGATAATGTTTAAACAGCTCAGTAGATATATTTTCAAAAGAAATCCATCGCCTTGGTAACATATACGGCGATTGATTCGATAAAGAAATTATACAGAACTGATTAAAAACGACTTATATACTGTATCATAATTAAATTAGGCTGAGCTCGAAATCCGTTGCATCGCGATTTCTCTTAACTTGTGCTTCTGCACTTTGCCCGATGCCGTCATTGGGAACCCGTCCTTTTCGATAAATATGTATTTGGGGATTTTAAAATGGGCGATCTGCAAAGTACAACAAACAGATAAATCGTCGTGTATTAACCTAGTGGATCTGTCGATTAAAAAACCAAGCTGCGGCACAAACAAACCTTTCCTTTGCTGTACGCTTTTATATCTGCTTCGGTGAGCGTAGCTCCTTTTTTGAGGATGACGCTGGCACACACTTCTTCGCCCATCCGCTGATCGGGTACACCGTATACCTGTGATGTACATAGAGTATTGTTAAAGTGTGCGTGTGAAATATGCATTAGAAAAATATTATTTGGATAAAACAATTATAGTAATAGTATGTGGTCATAGGGTGTGGATTTTAGCGTAGGAGAACACTAGACTAGTACACAACAATTATTATGGCCGTGTATCGCAAAGAGTTGAAAATCAAAACGTTCTAATTATATTCCTATAGATTGCATTATATTTTGAATGTATTAAACATAGCTGGATGAAAAAGATTTGATTAATAGATTAATTTAAAGATTATAAAGATTTTATTAATACTCACTTAATTTAAAATTAATAAATTCTAAACACTAATAATAGATTAAAACAAGTACTGATAGTCTTTTTTAAAAATACGTTTGTTAAGTAAGAATACTCGTACAATGAGCACATGATAAAAATATTAATTTCTTTTTTTATATTATAATCAGTAATTAAATTGATATACTTATAATATCTTAATCACAATAGGTACATAATTAATATTATAATGACGATAGATGTTACTGTATAGGAACATTAGGAACCTCTTTTGTACTTAGATTACATACGAAGCGTATACTTTAAATTCATAGCATGTATATATAATTACTTGAACTTGTGAAATCAATGGATGAGACTCCAAAAAGTATTCTATCTCTTTAGGGAATAAGTTTTCACCACCGCGAATAATCATTTCTTTTAATCTGCCAACGTGATTTCCATATCCGTCTTCGAACAAAACGAATTGGTCTCTAAACACAATAATATAACAAATTATACACACAACATCATTTATCATACTGAGTTAATAATATATACAAGCATAGATCTAAATTTAAGGAGTGTTTAGAGAGCTTCATTCCTTCCTTCCCCAGCATTTTTAGGTAAATTTATGTTCAATTAAATAGATGTTAGTATTAACTTTATTTTCGTTTAAAATGCTAAAAATTATAATATTTAATGTGAACAAATAATAATTCATGTGTTAGTTGTAAACACAAATAGAAATAATAAATAATTATTTAATTAAAATAAAAGTTAACATATTATATTATGTTATCATATTATGTGTACTAGGAATTATTGTTACATTAACAATAATATTGGTTAGACAGTCGATAAATTTGATACAGTTAATTAATAACATTGTGTAAGACATAAAACGTGTAATTATGTTTTTTTTGTGGAATATTAATTTTAAATTATATATTTAAATATACATTATTGATTGGACGCGTAAAAAAATATTAATGTTGGACTATAGGTATGATAATACTAGATATAACTACACAATAACTTTGGTATTGTATTTATGAAACTATAAGCATCCTGAAAAAATAATTAAATAATTTGTATATATTTTATAATAACTATAACGAATAGTAGTCAGCTAGTATTGGCGATATTGAAATAAAATAACATAACAAATTTACAATAATCTAGATTTCGGAGACTAGATTATATTCATCATTTTTCTAGTTATTTCATATAAATTAGAATTTATAACTATGTGGGAGGTATTATGTTCTCATAGGTTCTTATTTTGCTATAAAACGTCTTTACGACTTTATGCTCTCTCCCTAACTTGAAGTACTGGTTACGTATATGCATAAATATATAGGCTGAATTGAGCGCATATACTGTAAGCAGAATGACTCTTTTATCAAATACCAATGTGCCATATACCTTACTGCAGGGTAATAATGCGATAAAAAAAAAACTCCTTTCTGTAATTTTTGACAATATTTTTGGTATTTACCCTGTGTGTAGCCACCCGCTAGAATCAATCGTTTCTTTTGTCTTTTCTTCATCGTTAAAATAACCACTCATTATTAGATATCCACGAATCAACAATTCTCCGGAAGTCCCGAACGGTACCATATCGCCATTGGTATCCACCACTTTCGCCTAAAAATTGACAAAACACACAGTCATAGGAATAAATATTGTTCTTTCAATATCAGCAATCGACTATAGTATAATAATCTAACACAGTTAAGTTATTTACTGTAACTATTATTTTTCAACATATCTATAATAACACGTATCAGTGAGGGTGGAGAGACTGAAAATAATAGTAGGTAACTTCATTATTTAAAAATAACCACCTCGAACAATGTTTAATAAAGAATCTGATTGAAAGTTATTCCACCCATCTCTAATCACGCTTTTGTATCGTATAAATGAATATTGTTAAATATAATAATGACGACTGACCTCCACGTGATCTAGTATGAAACCCATCGTCGACATTATCCGTTCATCTGAGTCATTCAAGAAGTTTAGAAACGTACAGGGACTGGTTTCTGTCATCCCGAACAAAGACTAAAATTATTGAAGAATTCGAAAATTATAATTAAAATATTAATTATACTGTTTTAATTATCAAGAAAATGTAGTCACCAAAAATTTTGAATTAAAACAAAAATGTATTATAATCAGTTTCAAAATACCAATATTTTAGCTCGTGGAAACATATTCTTAAACTTGGTCATCAAATTCGGAGAACAAGTGGCGCCACCAGTTATTGCTATTTTAATGTCGTTGTCTTGTTGCTCTAGTGGAAGATCTTCGAAAACGGACATTATGTCAATGTGTATCGTTGGTGTACCAAATAAAACCGTACATCTATAATAATAACGTGATTATTCGTATTAATAGTTATTCATTGTAAATTTAGAAATAAAATCCAATTTTTTACGGAAACTTCAAGAAATGCTATCAAATATCGATATATTTCAGAGTAAAATTTTTGGTAATAAAACCAATACTTTGTATTTATATGTAAGTATTGATAATTTATAACATATATACATATAACTATTAAGTAGGTAATTGCTAATTGCTAATAACCTTCATATAGTTCTTTTCATTAATATAATTGCCATCTCTTATCTTAAATAAAATAAAATAAAATTAGAAACTAAACACTAAAAACTGTAAGTAATGACACTATATTATTTCTTTTAGCAAATTAATAATTAAATAATAGAAAAATAGGTGGTATTTAAAAAAAAAAAATTTACACGTAAAAATACATTCATTATAATTAAAAATTAATAGTAATTAAAGATGATTAGACTTATTAAATTAATAATAATAACTAAATAATAATTATGTTCTTTTTAAAAATTAAACATAAGATAATTTAAAACAAGTAAAATCTAAGAGACAAATAAAATTGTAAACATAAAGGGTTAGTAATATTGCCTAGATTTTTACACAATATAGATAATATCTAAAGCCTCTACATGATTATACTATAATAAAGATACTCGTGTGTTGAAGAGTTTATAAGGAATATTCTGTATTTATATTGCTGTTTAGGTAAACCAAATATTATAACAATTTACAAAAAATAATAGCTATAATTTAATTATTACAAATTATTATATTGTAGGAGAATAAATGAAAATTGTTGTTTAAATATTGTGGTTAACTATACCCTCCTATTCTACCAACAGTATCATGCTTCCTTAAATCCCTATAAATAATTAATAATAGTATACTTTAATTGTTTAATTACATAAATATTTCTAATATTACGTTGATTTATATGATTTTTATACGGTAATCGATATTAATATATTCCTGTAAACTAAAATCAGTAAACAACAAATACCGTCCCACAACTATTACAATATTATAAAGTACAAATCCAAATAATCCAATTATATTCATATTAAAATTATATACTTCACAAATTATATTAATTATTATCAATAAACACATAAGCAAATTGATCGAATGAATGTATTTACTAACTTTTCTTTGATAATTACATCGACAGATGCTTTCCGATCAAAATGGCCTGATGGTAAAAAAACTGTAGATTTGGTAACCAAAGCTCCAAGAGTGCAAACACATAATCCCGCAGCATGAAATAAAGGCATTGAACAACAGAATTTATGTAATTTTCCCTAAAAGTAAATAATGTTCGTAGCATTAGATAGATAGACTATTATAAAATATCATAACAAAATTATTTTTTAAATATTTCATATAACTATACTTCATTGATGTCATCGTTAATTCCTAAGCGCTTCATCATAAAATAGGCATTGTTCGTTAGACCAAAGTGGTTTAATAATGCTGCTTTTGGTTTACCAGTGGTACCCTGAAAAATAATTTTAATTGATAAAATAAAAATTTTTATTGTATAGAATTTAAAACATTGTAGTACTGAAGTAAACTGAATTATGCATCCTTCGTCTGGTTGAATATTAGGAATATTATAATTAGAATTGAAACCCAGGTCATAGAACGTTTGTAAATTATAAGCACCACTGTAACAATTATTGTGATATTAAATGTAAAATTATTTTATTATAATAATATTATTTGCTAACACTTACTTTATACAGTTTTCTGAATCAAAAATAACTGATTCCAGTGTAGGTATAATTTTCGACTTGATCGGCGTATTAGACGGTCGCTTCCAAATGTCCGAATCAACCTTCTCTAATATTTCAGGATAATTTTGAGTCTTAAACTTTTCTAAGGTTAAAAGACACTTCACTTCAGCTAAGTTTAAAGTGTATTTCAGTTCGTCACATTGATACGCTGGATTAATGTTTACCTGAAATTACCATATAGATAAAAATACCGACTTTATCCAATTTTATATTAACACATTTTTACTGGCTATAACTATAGTGTTACGGGTATTATGATATATATATATATCTAAAAAAAAAATGTTTAGCAGTTACAATTAACGATTTATATTACGTTATCAATTATAAAAATTATATTTTTATTATAGATTGTATTAAATTTCACATTAAGTTATATATTTTAATAATAATGATATCCTTTCAACCTGAAAAAACTACTGTTATTTTATCCATAAGCAAACAAATTAAAAACTAATTTTTCTGTTTAACAATTAAATTGGTACTCACATTAACTATATTAAGCCAATAATATTCCTAACACCAGATTAACATTAAACATAAATTCATCAAATTATTTCTCACTCTTTTTTTATAAAAAAAGATCCCCAAACATAACCACGTTTTAATATTAAACAAACCTTACTTACACAAATCACAGTTGAAATAAAAGAATAATAAAAGCGCACCACAATAATGTGTAAAAATATAAACGATGAACAGAAAAAAAATTCCTAACTTTTTTCAAAACTATTATTATTATTTTTTTAGTGAAAATGAAAGTATCAACTAATTTAATGTATAAAATTGTAAATAAATTAAATAAATAAGGATATTTTAGAAACTCTCAAAAAAGTATAAGTTATCCTGATTATTTTTTTTTTCCAATACAAAATTAATTTAATATAAACTGCAATCTTAACAATTTTTTCATAACAAATTAATACCAAAATAAGTCCCAGACGAGCTGTTGCGATAATCGCCGTATAGTATAACACGCAATTAGGCATCCATATTCCAACACGATCCCCGTGTTTGAGGCCAATGGCGTTAAAGCTCTTGCATAGCTTATCCACCTGCAAAAAAAATAAAAATCAATTAACATGCACGTTTTAAGTATACAAATATATATTTTTATAAGTGTTAAATGTCGTAATTGTATGTGACTGGTGTATAATAATAATAATTAACAGAACTAAATTATAACTGTGGATTTTGATGAAACCGATGGTAATTTTATCATTTAGTTTTTGCCGACCTCAAAATCCATGGCGGCGAACGTGAGTCGTTTATTCTCGTGTCGGCTAACCAGGCACTCTCGATCTGGAGTCTGTTGTACGGCGTCATTGAAAACCCCTCCAATTGTATAAGGTTTGAGTGGATCACTCGAAGCTCCATATAAATAACTACACTTTGACCAGTGATTATTTCTCGAAAATCTACGATGATTACGAAAAATTAAATTGTTTATCAAAAATGTACATAATTAAATCATGTTAGATGTCAACGATACCATACATGATGCAATATTCAAAAACTTCATACACTTTGGAATAAACCCTTCAGGCAAATCACAAAATGTCTATTCTATATATGCAATAATACCCTACTTTACTAGGTATAAATAATATTTCATATTCCCTTCTCGTCATAAGGTCATAAGCCTTCATGAAATATTACATTACAGATAATCGCAATCAAGTGTAAATAGGTATCCACTCTATACCACTCTCACGCAATCCCGCAATATATAAATTATTAACCATTAATATTACTAATTGTAATCGATTTATAGATTGTAAAAATATGAATAAAGAAAAAAGCATTTTGAAATTATTATATTCTAAAAATTTCTTAAAATGTTCTTACAGATTACACCTATATATTTTATAAGTGTAAAGTTAAGAATTTATACAAATATTATTAAAATTATTATCATTATTATTCTGCACTTGACATTATTTATAACCCATTTTACAAAGACCAGATAATGTACCTACCTAAAAAGTGTAATAAGCTTAACGTTGGTTTGGTCAATTTATTCGTTTAAAAATCAAAATTATTTTCATTCATTATATTATGTTGTGTAGAAAAGTCATAGACTCAAAGCTTTGTAGGTCATGGCCAATTATGCGAAAATGACCTAGTTGCGTGGTAAACATGGTACATTTAACCAAATAAAATATCCAATAGTCTAGAAAACTAGAGGGTAAACGCGTGACAAGAATCTCCCCGTCTGCACTCTATTATATATTTTAATACTGCAATTAGATATTCCTATTTTCACGGTTTACACACAATTAAAAAATAGAAAAACACGACATGCCCAGTTAATATACGTCTATGCCGTAATGCGTAAATTTTCTCGTGTAAAACATATTTTGAACATTTGTAGGCTGATTGTACTATTATTATTATTATAGTTCTTGAACTGTTTAAATCGATACAGCAATCATGAATTACTATATAAAACTTTTATACATACTGCACAATAAATTATAGTTCATTTCGCAATAATAATAATAATGGAATAACCATTTTAAGATTTTTAAGACACTAAAATAGTACAACTTATACTACGCAGAATATAGGTTTATAATGAGAATTTAATAATATAAAAGAAGTATATAACTATTTGTATTAAATACTTACATTTGATGTCTATTATTAATATCACATAATCGTTTGAGATTCGTTAATTTAAATAACGAACAGTTGATCATTTTATCAATAATTCAATAGTCACCTAATATAAAATAAAAAACATTGTTTAAACAGTATAACAATAGAGATTTGTGCATTTTATCTTAAATCTGAATTTGTATTTAACTCTTATTGTTCGATTCAATATACTATATAACATTCTGGAATTGATTAACAAATATCAGTATTATTTTAAAATCTAAAAATAATATATTGTGATGTTATTTTATCATCATTGATATTTAAAAAAAAAGATCTACTCACAATAATAAATTGAAGATGAATGATCACACATAGAAATACATAGACACACATAAAAGGATTAAATTAATTTGACCGTGGACTGCGTGGATTGTAAGTGTAAGTAGGTACTATGAAAAAAAAAGTGAAAGTTTTGTAATTAGTTAATTGTTAATTATTACACTTGTATTTTATTTAACTGAATACTTGAGTATACCTAGAGTAAAATACCTTTAAGTTTATAATGTTCATACATAATAAAAAACAAAAATATAAATGAAAAAATATATACAGTTTTGACCGAGATTTACTTTTTATGACTTCATGTTCGTGATTTTATTGAAAAGAGCATACCTACTTGAATATTGTAAAATAAAGTGTTTTACTTTCAAGATTTATTCATTAAAAACGGAAAACGAAAGTAGAGTACAATTTTTTATTTAATGAAAAGCCAAAAAAAAAAAAATAAATAAATAATCATAGTAGTATAAACTGTTTTAAGCATATTATTAGAAGTTAAAATTAAATAAATTCATTAAACTTATTAAAATGTATAGTTTATTTCTATATAAACTAATAATATGAATATTAATATATTGTTTATGTTGTTGAATTTAATCAGTAAACAATATTTAAAATCTATATTCTGTATAATATTAGATAATCTGGCTGTTGTATCTTTAGGCTATATCACAATCGTTGTTAGATGATAGCTTTTATTATGTAAAATGCCTTAAGTATGAATTATTGAATAAGTTTGACAAATCAAAAATTTTCGAGTTTATTAGCCTGGTTTCGATTTCAACAAAATATTAGTTACAGAAGAACCTAAGTTTACAGGCATTTAAAATATTTCTAGTTGATAAGGCTTTTTTTTTTTGAGTTCAGCATTAATAAAATGTTATTAGTTTTTTGTGAAGTATAGTAATTGACAACGGTTTATTGTCAATGTTTTTTAAATTGATATGAATATATTCAATATTCATACATTATTTTCTTTAAAAAATATGACTACTATTGTGTAGAATCTCCCATTAGTATCATTTCGGCTATATGTAGCCTGTAAGTAGATGTAAGGTGTTAGATTTAGGTTTTTACTATGTTTAGTAATTTTGACCTTATTTTATGCAATCGTAGTCTTTCATTAATTCTATACTGTATTAAAAATCAGAAAAATATTCGGCAGTGACCAGGTGAGTGTTAAACCAACACCTATTTGTTTTCTACCAGTTAAATATTTGTATTAATTGGCTGCCAACTTAATTCTCATCTTCAATTGTCCTAGATTATTTTTCAGTAGTCTTAATTAACCGAGAAATACAACTTAAAGAGATGAAAATTTTAGAATTTTTTTTTAAGTTTCGGAGAATATTAGATAAACAAAGCCGTTCGTTATAACTGTTTGCTTGTAATTTTCAATATCGAAGAAGTCAGAAAGCGAATATTAACCGTCAGTCAGGTTAAACAATTTTAAAATAACTGATAACAGAACAGTGGTAACCAACAATGTAACTATACTCTGAGTAGGGTTAGTAAGAGACGATTTGTGACACTTATTATGAAAAATATAAGAGACAAGAAGGCCGAGTTTGGACTACTTTACAACCGCACAATAAATTTAAGATAACTATTAATTGTATTTAAATAAACTAAAAATTAATTAAATGTTATTAAAGTATAGATTTTTATGTTTACCTTAAGTGTAGAGCAAAAATGTACTTCAAACGTTTTTTTGGTTTTATTCAATGTTTGTTCGAAAATATGTAAATAAATAAAAATAAAAAGATAAATAATATATGAGCGAAAAAACCATATAATAGAAGTGATCACTACAAAAGGAATAACATAACTGCGATATACTAGGTATTATATAATACTTACACTTGAGTAATGAGTATAATATAATACATATAATATAACTCTTATAAAATTATAATTTTGTTTTTACTATTGATTTTTATGAATCATATCTATGCATTTAAAATGTATTATAAAAAAAAAGATAAAAACTATTATTATTATAATAATAAAATTCTACATATTATGATAAATAAAATAATAAATTCTATTTTATTAATAATCCTCATTATAAGAATACGTGAGGGAATCACTCTACTATACCTACAACTTATTACGATCGTATGTACCACGTCATTCAGTAGGTGAATTTTAATGGATGTGATAAAATTGAATTTAATAATAAATCAATGAATAAAAAAAAAACAACCTCGAACGAAAAAAATATGTCAGCCTGTATTTTTTAGAATATTTTTTTTATAAGTAATTTATATTAAATAGTATTGTATGTTAATAAAATTTTTGCCAAAAATTATTCCGCATTAATATGTTATTATTCATTTTTATGATTTAAATGAATTTGCTATATTTTATGGTATTTGTAAGAATAAATTAATTAAAATGAACTTTGTTTTAGGATTATGTCAAAAAAAAGGATTTGATGATATATCATATGATAACAAATTACCTATATGTACTTTGATTGTCAAACGTTTTCATAAATATGAAAAAAAATTCATTTTAACGTATATTTACCTCACAAAATGCCCAAATATTACAGTGATTTGTTAATACATATTTGCTTAAAATCATTTGTAGTTGGATAGTATAAAGTAAAAGATAATCATATAATTATTGCATTAGTTCATTTTGATGCAGGCTTAATAAAATTAAATCTTTAAATTTTATTAGATTTTAAATATAGATAAATTATCAATGTGCACTTAATAAGCACTAATAAGTCATGTATGTACTTACTTCTTTGGATATCTTTAATAGGTACGCTATTATTTTTTAGTACCTACTTATTACTATTTTTTTTAATATCTTTATTATTTTTTTAGTCAAATATAATTTAATCCATTTATTTCAATAATCATTGTTGGTAGTAAAACTTCAGATTATTATTAATCTATATGATAATAATGCTATAAATTATAATATTAATAATTAATGATTGTACATGACAAACATCTATAGGTACTAATAATAATAATATAAATATAACATTAAACACTATAGACATTTGTTTATTATAAACACGGTTAATCGAAGAACTTTAAACATTTAATTAATATTCCGAATAACTTAAATTTGCTTTATGCATTGTACTATCAACATCAAAAAAAATATTTGTCAGAAATATTACAAATTAATTGGATGAAAAGCCTTAATCATATCATTAGATAAAATACTAATATATCCATTAATTATAGTAATAATAGATAATAAATCAAAAGTTTAATATAGTAGAAGTTTATCATAAAAAAAAAAATTGAGAATAATAAATATGACAATAAAAAGGGATGTCGCTTCAAAAAATATTTCATTCGCAGTTTTTAAATCCTTTAAAAAGTATCTACACCATGATGTAACCCACTGCAAGACATGCTTAAAAAAATGTTTCAATTAGGTAATATTTTTCTTTCATAATTTAAAACAATCAAAATCCATTATCAAATATTTTACTACTGTTGTTTATATTACTATAAATTTTTACAATAGAATAAAAATTACGTTTTGATATACCTAAAATACTTAAAAACTTGACAGTTTAAATATTTTTACAACTAAACTTTCTCTGCTTTTTAAATAAATTATATCAATAAGTTTAAAAACTATTAATTTATGAGGGTAAATAATGTTTAGCCAAAAGTTTATTAGGAAATAGAATGAAATTTAAATTATATATTCGTTACTTTATCAAAAGCGTTTGATGATTTTAACTTATAATCGACATTATTTTTACGATAACATTTAATAAATAATATGATCATTATTTATTGATACTTAAAATGTACTCCGTTGCTTCAAATTATGACCTAATTATTATAATACTATGTCAGACGGTTCTCGGAATTCGACTTTATAGTTTATTAGTCGATTTTAAAATCGCGTTTCGTACTTATGATTAATATTGACAATTATATTATATGTATACATTTTCATAATTTGTATGCACATAATATATACTTTTTACTCCTATATCCATTTGAGCCTCCACTTGATTTTTACAATAAGACCGCATTAGTTCTTTGAAAGAAACTAAAATATTTAAATAATTAAATTAAATGTAAGCACAAATTATAATTGGTCAAAATAATATGTTTAAATTGTATTGTAAAGTTTAGTTTTATTAAAGTTTACTTAATTATAAATGAATATAACTATAAACCTGCATAGCATACTATATAATGTAATGTTGTATAGTTTTGGTATTATTATATCGAAATAGGAAGGTAAACTGAACAAGTAAAATAATAACCACACCATAAACAATAAACAAAATACATTATACCCGATAATATTCGTGTTTCTTTACATAAAATCCTTCATCGCGCACGTGACGATATTGTACATAGTCATATATTATATCTACCTACATAATATTATACAGCCGTTTTTCTACTGGGGTAAAAGTTGATCATTTTAAATAATAAAATAATAACAATGTAAAGTATGATGGTCGCTCGAAGGTTTGTAGATCAAATAACAATAAAAGTAGTAGCTACCCTAAAAAAAACCAGCTATATATAGACCATATTATAGTATATTGTAGTGATATTGCATTTAATCTTAATCGCATTTAGCTATACATTTTGAACTATACCTATCTAAATAATATTATTGTGTAGGTACAATATGCATTTCTGCACTTTTTGAAATTAATCGTAGAATATAAGGTCGATATGATATTGTATATTGGAACTTGGCATTGTGAGAAATCAATGCAAAAACAATAAACAATAACAATATGCATAATATTATATCATTATTACAAGGTATTACAACGATATGTGTATAAAAGAAAATATTATATAGGTGATATACACAGACAAAAGGTATTGTGTTAAACGACAAATAATAACAATTAACTTATTGTTGTAATTATAATAATTATATAACATGGTGTAACCTTTTCAAGGCGTTTTGCACTAGATTGTACAAGTACACGTAATGGGAGAGGGATGCACGGTAAAATATTCAAACTTAATATAAGTACCTATAGGACAAATATTACGCATTATTATATTTTATAAAAGTCAAAATTTTTAAGTAACACATTCATATACAATACCTACTATGTACCTACATATATAATAACAGTAAAATATGTAAATATACGATGAAAATCGCGAGAATGTATATAATGATAAATATATATGTTGTAATAATATACACACGAATACATAATATTATTATTATCTAGTCTGAAATTCGACGTACCGGCCGGGTAATCGTTTGTTTGAACGCACGAAACGCGAGAGGGTTGTCAAAGTTTAATTTCTTCAGGGGTGCCTTGCGCACACCACGTTGTTCGGGTGCATTCAAAGGGATACGTTGTGAATTTGTGATATACATACATATGCGTATATATTATAATATATATATGAGTGTGTGTGTTTGTGTATGATGAGTAATACGTATATAGTAGCTACAATGACAATATACACAGAATAATATCAAGCTCGGATTATACTTGTAGCTGTCAAACATTGCATGCGTATCGAGGGACGGTTTCCGGTAATTGCATGTTATTAGGCCTTCGAAACAAAAATTATTGATAAAACAATACGTACATTTAAAACACTTTTGTATTTCAGGATGAATTCCCGGATAATAAAAATATTTTTATTGTTAAAAAGTAATATAAATATAATATGGCTGTATACAGTTGCAGTTAGTTAGTCAGAAAGGTCAGAATAGCAGTCAGAAAGTTTTTCGCGACAGTGTTTACCTATATTATATAAATATAATATATTGCATTTTAGTACAGATAGGTTAGTGCGCGTTTATAATAGCAATGATTTATCTTGGGTAAAGGATTATGTTTTTGCTTTTTTTTAGATTCTAGATTCCAAAAGGAACAATAAATCTATTGGTTTTACATTAATGTGTGTGATCTTTTTTAGTATACACGTTTTATTGTAGAAAAAAAATATTTTAAATCTACAATTTCAAGAGTGGTTTCTGGTACAATATTTAATCTAGTTGGTACTTTTGTACAATAAATATCAATAAAATTTCCAGTACTTTTCAAAATGATAAGTAAAACAAAAAAAAAATTGATAAAATGTGAATTTTTAAGCTAAGCCAGTTTTTGAAAATATCGAAATTACTGTTTTATTTTTTAATTTTAGAGAATAAAACTTTAAAAACTTAAATTTTGTGATTAATGTATTCATTACAGTAACCTATGCCTACAATGAATTACGAAATGGTACATTTGACACATAAATATTATACAACAGAGCGATTAACCGATATTTATTTTTAAAAACTGGTTCCTAATAATATCATTAAACAATTATACCTTTAAACAACGAAAACAACCAGAGTAATTAATCATTGATGGATAATACTTTAAGTATTAAACATTTTCCGTCAGAATTTAATACAGGGATATAATTTTAAAATGTTTATAATTTTATTAAATGCTAAAAAATATTCGCTAATAATGTTACAGGTAGATAAAGTTAAACATTTGAATAACGTCTAACGTCTACATCAGCTGAATAATGTCAACGTTAGCAGCGCCTTTTGGCTAATGTGTAATTTTTCATTTATAAACATGAAATATCTAGATTATCCAGATAATGTTAATTTTAACCAGTCAATATTGGGTGATATTAAAAGAATAAGAGTTTTGGTTAGTATTCTGTACACCATCATAATAATAAAGCATTGGGCTGCTACAGTATAAAAACTTATCTTATCTTATTTTAATTATAATTCATCGTATTAATTAAACGAAAAATACTTAAATACAATTAGTTAATCTCGTCATTTAAATAAATTTGAAATTATTAATATCGGAAGAGAAAAGAAACATTCATGTAGAAAAATCATTAAGGAAAATTGCTAATCAAATGTCAGATGGTAGTGGTCAAGGTTACGAAAGGTGCTCATGTAAGATTAAATATGTATAATGAGAAAAACACTTTAATTTTATATTTAAAATATAAAATAAAATACTCAATTGAATATTTGTATTAGTAGATAACTTATTAAAAATAAACTCTTATTGTTTAATAATAATAATTGTGTTTCATTATATCATTAATATTATGTCTTAAATATTGATGATAATTTAAAATTATTTTATCTAATGCATAATACATTTTTATAGTTGTTATAAAGACATTAGTCAAAATTTAATAATATTCATGGTGGATAATGATAATATATAGGTAATGTTATATTATTCGGCTAATGTCGACATTATCCAAATGTTAACAATACCCTTACACATATACAATAAGTACCAAAAATAAAAAACACATCACAATTATTCTTCAACAGAAATATTCAAAAATTATAATTCATCAACAATTAATAAACTTTATAGTTTTAGACTTAAGTTATATTAAATTTATATTTATTTAAAAAACGTTTTGTTTAATTTTTGTAATAATAATTATTTTTATTTTTGTTTGTATTGATTGTTTAATAAAAATATTTATTTGATTTATAATGTTTATATATATATGTAGATTTATTATTATATAATAGTATAACATTATTTTTTTATTTTTTATAAGTTACTAAATTTTGTGGTGAGATCTAGACTAAGTATTTTGGATAGCAATGCGCCTTATTTAATCTAAAAACCTCAATAAATTCGCTATATCTTTGTTGAATTCAACATACATATAGTAATTTTTTTACTTATACTTAAGGTACCTGCCTATACTAATCCTGAGATACAACGTGATATAATTAAAATTAAGGAAGTGTACGGTTATTAATTCCATGACTACGCGTAAATCGTTTGGTAGTTATAATATTTATATGCCTACGTATATAAATACGTTAATACCTACGTTAATAGAATATTATAGCATTATACCTATACAATATACATGCATTATGCATAAATAGGTAGTAGGTACTTACCTGTAGGCTATAGTTATCTATATCGACCTACCAACTATACAACATTTTGGTTTCTAAAATATCCCGTCTAATGTTTCATGAATATTATACACGAACTGATATAATTTAAATGCAAACATGAAAAATGATAAATCTACATTTTTATATAATCAATCTGAATCTGAAACCATTATCAATAAAATAAAGACTATTTATTCATTAATAAATAGCAATTCCTAGTCGGATGCCTTTCATGTGATTGTTTTTACACTCAACTTGTATTAGCTACATACTGATTGGTTTCAGTGGTGATTTATCAAAACAATAAATTTGTATCAATGTGCGTACGAATGAACATTGTACATTTTTAATCTATGTAACAATATTGGTTATAAATAATATAAAATAAAATAGTTTAATACTGTGTAATGGAAAATAATAAATGAAAAAATAACAATCCACAAACATAAAAGTCCAAAAATATTATTAATTTAATCCAAATACTAAGTTTCAGCTTAAGGAAATCTTCGGGTAATATAAATAACTAAAATCAACGAAAATATCAAAATCAATAACTTTTAAAAAATATGTAAGATATTATATCTATATGTTTCATTAAATGTTAATATTGTTGATGTTTATTTATTTTATCTGAATTTTACTTAGCTTAAGTCTAAAACTAGTATGTAGTTGGATTAATTCAGTTTTAACATTTGTGAATTTTTATTTAAATTATTTTAAGTACACATGTTAATTTGTTATATGAATATTTATTTATTATTTTTTACTAATGATAATATTAGTTATTCATATATAGTTTTTTCTTCAATTTAAAGTAATAAAACATTTAAATAAACACTATTTTTTATTCAGGTAATGTCTGAATTGAATTTAATTATAAAAATAAAATAATATAACCATAATTAAGAATTTTTGATATATTTTTCGATATTGAAAAAACTTGAAAAACAGTGCTTTTGTATGCTCATTTAAAATTATTAAAAGGGTATCTAATTGTAATTAATCTAGTTTTATATACCTGCATAATAGATATATAGATATAGTCTATACGGCATACGTCTTAACTAAACTCTATTATTATATCATAATAATAATGAAAACATTTCAATCTAGTCACACGTATGCCAATCGTTCAGTTTAATATTATGTGTACTTCAGCAATTTCTCATAATTATATCTGGTGTATAACTTTACAAAAGATAGTATTATTATTTGTAAATATACTGTTAATCAGATTTCAGTTACAGCTCTGAAAAACTTTTTTAGTTTTAATTAAACATAATTTAATATGTTTCCTTTCCAGGCAGACTTTCCAACTCCTTATAATATCTTATTCGAATATTTGACTATTGTTTACTGGTTAGGTACAATGATACATGGCTACAAGCCGGTGGTAATTGTATAATTAGCTCGTTATCCTAAGTTTAAAGTCAAAAATATTTATACATATAAATCAACATAAACAGTACGAAAATGTTTTTTTTACATAAAAAAATTACTAGTTATTATTTATCAAATTCAATCTTATCAAACTTAACCCGAAAAAGTATCTCCCCATCCACCAAAGTTGGTTTAATCTAACATAACCTTGTGTATTCACAAATTGTATTCTCTTGTATATTAAAATGTTTTTTTAATTATCTTAAATTGAAATTATTCTAGAATAAATCTACAACCATTTGAAAAAAATCCCAATTTACCAACTTATTGCAAACAGTTTATTTTACGAATCAAAATCATGAATCGTGATCAGATAATTATTATGTATTATATCTATAGATTTCTTATAAACGTCAATGCACGCACTTGTATAATACTGTATACCACAAATACTTCTGAAAGTCACAATATATATATATATATACAATATGACATTGATGTCTCTATTGAAATTGTTTATTTTTGCAAATTTGCAGATAATTATATATTTATACGGAATTTAACGGAATGACAATTTTATCATAATGTAGTACATAATATGTAGTATACGCGCTTATTGCTTACATATATTATTATAACGACGTGTGCCTAAATCAGCTGGCAACTACCGTTAAAACCATTCGAGTTAAGTATTAAACGGGTCGAATTACGTACGCGCACACGGGTAAAAAAAACTGCAAAATACAATATTATATGTATACGTAGAGTTTAAATAAAAAAAAAAAAAGGGTGTACATTCACTCTTAACCCAAATTAAGTAGAGTTATGTGCTACAGACGGAAGAAAGACCTCGTGGATAGCACGCGGATATATTAGGTATATATATATATATATATATATATATATGTATAGGTATAGATCGTGCGGCGACTGTGACGGGGAAAGAGCGCGATCGCGTGGGGAGCGGTCTTGACGGGCGGGCAGGCTGGCGGGGTGTCGTATAAAGGAGCACGTAAGCATGCGAACTTTCGTAGGTAGCAGGTATACAGGTACGCCACCACCTTCCGCCCGGACAAGTTCGCTTTCATTGGTCTGCTGCCAGAGACATGCAAATCCCGAGAACACGCCGTGGCGCCCTGCCGTGTACACACACCCATAACAATTCGTAGCATTGCACTGCACTCTCGTGCGGTATCCGTGTGCCGTTTACTGTTTATAATCGGCCAGAGTGCCAGTTACGGAGCAACTCGGCGGGCGACGAAGGAGCTCGCCGCATCGAGGTCCGTTGCAGATCGTCGTTTTCGGCGCGCGTTGACAACCGCACTATTACCAAAGAGTGGGCATATCAATCGGGCGAGGTCCGGGAATTCCGAGCGCCGTGTACCGCCGACGACTGGACGTCGTATCGCAGCACGCAGACGGTCGTCGTCATGTCCGCTCCCCCGAGCGATCCATCGTTCAGCCACCGTCGCCGTCGCCGCTGCCGCCGGTGCGCGAGTGTTCGCCGAGAAATTCCGCGCCGGCTTTCCGCGTATACAGCCGTCGTCTGTTGAGATGTAAGTTCGCGAGCACGTCGTCGTCGTCGTCGTCGTCGTCGTTGTCGTCGTCGTTTTCGTCGTCGTTGTTGCGTCGCCAGCAAAAAACATGATCGGTGGATCCGGCAAGAGAGGTTCGGCGGCCGGCAGCAGTAAGCCACCGTCGTCCACGGCCACCGCCGCGGCGGCCGACGACAAGGCGGCTACCGCAGCCGGTGGGACGTCGAAGTCCGACGACAAAAAAGACGAGACCAAAGGTGAGCTTTCACAGACCCTACCCCCGACTTCCCGGCGTTTGAGTTCCAAAACATTTCGAATTATAATATTACGCCGGGATTCGTAATTACTGCGACAAAAACTCGAAGGAGCTCGAGAAAAATATGTCGTCGACAAATAACACTTCGAGTTTTATAACCCATGACCGATCTATAATAATATTATTTAATGAAATTGTGGCGTAAGAATTCAAATCAGAATGCATAATAAAATCCGGTGATTGTTTTTTTTTTTTTTTTTATTTAATTTTAATCGTAAGGATTTGTTAAAATATTAATATTATCAAACAAATAATGTCTTTATTATTATTTTTTCTACGTAGTCCATGATATCAAAGTCTATTTAAATTGATTTTTTTATTGATTGTATACATTTAATTTGTACAATCTTCAACATTTTAGTGTTAAAGGTTTTGGACAATAATTTATTACCTTTATTTACACAATTATTTATCATGCATTATATTTTGAGGAAAAATTTTAAGACAATTTATTTTAGTAAAATTATTGTTGTTAAATTAAATATGATTCATTAAACAATCAAGACTGTGTATATTTATACAATACAGGTAAAAAACTCTCAACATGTCCAATACGTGCTCAAGCATCAATGAAATATCATGGTTGAATTAGAATTTAGCTATATTATAATCTACGTTTATTTCATATTTTAATGCAGATAATTTACATATTAGTTGAAAAGTATACAGATTTATGAAATTTCATTCATATATTTATATCTGAATTTTGTATCTCAATACTTTTCATATAGGGTACTGTAAATTTTTTAAAAATCTCCAAACTCATCATAGCTTATACATTTAGAAAATAGATACTCCGCCTATTGCTTAAAGTTAAATATTCATAGTAATTATACCGATTAACACTCTTTAATATACCATTTAAAATAATAGCGTAACCCATCACGTGTCATGAATTATGTCTGTGTAATTATTCAATAATATAACAAAAAGTTAACATTATGCGGAATATTGTATTATTATTTACTACTCAATAATTTCAACAACAAAAAATGTTTCTATATGTATCATAGTATAATACTATTGTAGATATAACTCAACTTTCTTTGTGTAAATAATAAATATACAGTTGAATTTTTAAATTTTTATGAAATTAATATTGAAATAGATATGGGTAAAAATCTCAATGCTTCATATAAAATGATTCTAATTCAATAAACTGTTTACAATTCATATATATAATAATTTATTATTGTTATGCAATATCTATATATTATTTGATTTGTGTTTTTCGAGTATCAATCATTTCAGCAAATTAGTTTCTATTTTAAATATAAATAACAAACAAAAAACTATAATTACCGCTTAAAAATAAAAATGTAAAAATATTTTTAATTTCAATAAATCAAACAACTTAGAACAGCCTTTAAAAATATAAAATAGAATAAAAAGTATAATATACTTAGACAAAACAATAATTTTAAAACGAAAATGTGTTTAAAAATAAATAATAATCAATGGCTTGTAGCATCTAAGTCAATTATGTATTACATCATATTGCAGCTTATGTGTATTATTTGCTATAATTATTTTGGAATGGAAGTTTATGTTGAGATTGACAAGTTAAAAAGTTACTATAAATATGAATTCAACTTAAATAACTTTTTTTAATCAAGTACTTACTAATAAATTATTTTTAAAACAAATATAATTAATTATATCATGGTAATTTTTTGTAAAATTAACAGAATTGAGAATATAACATACAACTTAAATATTAAAGCTGTGTTACTGTAATAATGATTAATATTTATTTATAAATTATAAATAAATATTGAAATATTATTGCTATTTAATTTGGATTTCCTAAAAGTTATAAGAATACAACAAAACTGTCATTACAACTCTTAAGGGTAATAAAAAAATAGTAATAATTCAGCATTTCGAATAATACTAAAAACGCAGATATGAC